TGACCCATTGTTTCTCTCTTTTTTTTTTTATAATCATCGGTTGATGGGAGTTGCTTCGCCTGACACGCACTATATATCGCTCTCTCTCTCTCTCTCTCTCTTCGGCAAAAGTAGTCCCGCTTGTGTATCAAAAGAATCATTGGACAATGTGTCGCCCAGCGGGAGACACGCGCCGCGCTCGCCTCGCTATACCTATTCAGCTCGCGAAATTCCTTGCCGCGCGCGCGAGGAGGTGTGGTTTCATCGAGTCAGCGCTACGCGCGCGCCTTGCTGTGCTTCCATTATTCCTTATATATAAGCGAACATATCTACGTACGTATAAGCGCAGATTGACTGATTCACGTCACTCTTTTTGACGTTCAAAAATCGATTATATGGCCCCGAAAGACGACGATAACAAAAAAAAAAGAAAAAAAAAGTAGAAGTATATGGTTCGTCTCGGCGGTGTCCATGGCATAAAATTGCAAAAACCACGCGGGCGGCTCGTAACTTTGTACCGCACGGCGCTCTTAGCCAACAACTACTAGACCGAGCACCCACACACGGACACAGACACACATATACACACGAGTTAAGCTGATTTAAAGTCTCGCGCGCGGTATAAGTTGCTTTCCGATTCGTTCGTCGCGCACGTCGGCGGGGAAAGAGGAAAGAAACTTGCCCGACAGGATTTAGAGGTATAGGTTACCGAGTAAAGGAGGGAACAAGCGGCAAGGAAACCAAGAAAAAGAGAGTTAGAGAGAGAGAACGAAGAAGCGCACGGCCAACTTGTAAAACAATAAAAGCTTCCGGTGCGCTTCGTTTTTTACCCCCATGCCCCTTGTCGTTCCTTCTTTGACCCTCTTCATTTACGCTCTTCTTCTTCTTCTTTTTTTAAAGAAATTTCGTTGAGAAAAAGAAAAAAGGAAAATCGATGTACATATAGCATCGAGTCAAGGCGCACGCACATACACGTGCGTAGCGCTCACTTATGTATACACGATTACGACTCAGCAAGGCGTGAATAAATTTTTTCCTTCTCTCTCTCTCTCTCTCTCTCTTTCTCTCTCTCTCTTTCGCGAATCTGTATTACACAATGGAGCAGCAGCAGCAGTGGCAGCAGAAGCCAGTCGCATGGAGCAATCATCGCACGCGCTCGCTCGCAACAGTTTCTTCATTTGCCTATGTAGCACTTGAGCATAATGAAAAAAAAGAGAATATAAAAAAAAACGAAAAATGTCGCATCGAGAGAGAGATAGAGAGAGAGAGAGGGTGCCTCTTTTTCTCTCTCTCTCTATCTCTTCAACTGAATGATGATGTTCCTTCAGGAAGTATTTCTTCCGAGTCGCTGAACTGTCGCGCGCGCTGCTCCGGCTCGCCCGGATATGAGAGATTTCGAGGAGAAAATCATGGGGAGATGAATTGTTACCCATAGAGAGAGAAAGAAAGTAAGAGCAGCAGCAACAGCAGCAGCTCAATGAATGCGTTTATTTGGTTCTCATGTCAAAATTATGATGCGCGCGCGCGGATCACCCTCCGCCTGCGATGTAGACAGATTGAACTTGAAATTCGAACTTTTCAAAAAAGCACCACAGAACGCAAGCAGCTCTCGAGCTCGCGCGCTGCATCATCGCTCGTTCGAATGCATTATCGTATCATGTACAACAAGTGAATATACAAGTGAAAGTTTTGCGAGACCAAAAAAAAAAAAAAACGAAAAGGCAGACGCGCATGTGTATAAATAATGCTCGTGTGGCTCGCGCGTGCCAGTTGGCATCTCCGCATTACATATTATACGGGCTCGATGTATACGGAGATGGAAACTCGATCGCGCTTACCCCGTCGCGTCGTATCAGCGTTAAATACACACGTTATATACGCGTGCATATAGATGCGTGTATGTATAAATACGTCGAGACGCAGCAGCAGCAGCAGCAGCAGTAGAAGCAGCCACGCGACTCTGTGTACTTAGAGCGACGAGTCAGACGGGATCGTCTTCTGGCGCTGTGCGTTCTGAATTACAAGTGCCCGAGCAAGGGATGTTCTATTTATATTACTATCAAAAAAGTCATAATCGATCGATGTACAATGTACATTGTACATACGCATGTAGAAGCAAGTGACGAACGATCCGTCATTGACCGAAATTGTTTGAAATATATGAAAACCGAGGCAGCAGCTCGAAAGCGTGTACGTTATAATATTATATACGAGTCGTATGAAATAATCACGAAGCTTTACGGCCGCAATTCGAGACACACCATATAATCGCGTGCCGTAGCGGTGCGTATATATCTGCGTATCACAATAAACGCGCACAGAGCGCACCGAACCTCGAGTCTCTCGGGACTCGATCTGCACATCTCTTTGCTGCGCGTACACGTGGGCGCGCACGTCCCCACGGTCCAAAGGTACGGTAGTACCGTAGGACAGCTGTTGGTGCTTTCGCGCGCGCGAATCGAACGATATACGCCATTCCCGCGTAATTTTTCATTAAAGAAATAATTCACGGCCGCGCCGCGATAATATTTTTGCGAACCCGATGCGCTGCTGCTTTTCGTCGAGGAATATATATCGAAAGTCCACGAATTCAAAATCTCAAAAAGCACCCACTTTCCTTTAACCAGTTTTGCTTTTCGTTTGAATCGAGTGCCGAGACTTTTTTCGACATCGATGTGTAATTTCTGTAATGAGCAAACGAAAGATACGGCAAAACGTATTCGTTGCTGAATTGTTCTTTCGCGTTACAATTGATCGACGATCAAGATTTTTAAAGATACATGCGATATTATGAAACGTTTATGAGAAACATTACGTGCATCGCACGGCCAGTATGTTATTCCTTTTGATCAATCATCTGTTAGCGAGTGAATTTTTTTGGAAAAATCAAGTTTATCTATCACCGTGCCTTTACACAAAAACGACAAGTGAAGTAGTCACGAGACTGATCTAATTTTTTGGATGGACATTTTTTGAACAACAAAATCGCCTCACCTTTCTCCGTGGCGCATAAGTAAATTGAATAATAATCGTATATGCACGGAGCGTCGACATGAAAAATTTTGTATATTTATACGATAAAAAGGAAACTCGTCTGTTCGCGAGCGAGTATCAAGAGGCATATTACGAGTTCATCATATATTTATAATACATATTATATGCTATGCTCTATGCAGTTGTAAAATAAGAGCAAGTCTATATCGTGCGCTATTTCTGCTGCTGCTGATGCGCGCGCACACAGATGCATACACAGTGGATATATAAGGTAATAAGCGTAATGGATCGAGAGCAGCTTATCCCTGACGTTCCCCCCATTGCATCCCTTGATATATACTCGCATGTACGTACGAATCTCTCTCTGTCTCTCTTTTTCGTATTCAAAGGTATCAAAGGGTTACGCCGCGCTGTGTGCAGCCGTGTCCACGATAATACGCACACTACGCTATGTATGCACATTCGTGACGAATAACAACAAAAAGTCAAACGTAAAGGAAAAATATTTTCAAAAAGGGCGAGGAGATGTTTTTTCGATTAAATACGTCTCAACCAATGATTCCCCAATTATGTATTACGTGCTGACAATTGCACAATAATTATTTCGACTACAAGCTCGCTTGAATATGTGGTAAGTCCCTCAATCGGAATCAATGTTAGGAACTAATAATGAAATTAAGAAAAACTCAAAATTTTTCCAAGTCCAACGTAATCTAAAAAGTGGTGGACCGAAAAATGAAGTATTTTAAAACGACTTCTAAATGATCGAGTAACTTTTGTCTCGATTTAAAAATTGAAACTACATAGAACTGAAATTGTATCCAAAAGTTACTATTGAGAATAATAATAAAGAAAAAAAACAATCCGATGCATACTCATTTGTATTTCGTTAAATCGAACGAGCGACTTTTGCGTGCGAGAAATCCTGCTAAATGTCGGCTGCAGCAGAACAGCATTACTCCGGACTTACGGCGGCTGAATCATTGGCTCCGTCCGTGGCGTGCGTTGTATGTATGTGTGTTCGTCGGGGCACGCAGCAAAAAAAAAAAGTAAAAAAAAGACACAGAAAGAGATAGACATAGTCTTTTACCGGAGAGAACGAAGAACACAGCTCGGGCGAGCGGCAAAGTATCAAGTGAGACCATAGATTACTAAATACACGCGGTGGCGTCGGCGGCAGTTGTGAATCTCTCTCTCTCTCGCTCTTTCGACTTGGTATTATATGTATGTAACCGCTCGCCCCGAGAGCAATGCATATAAAGAAAAAGGCCCTCCGAGTTTGAACGTGTGTGTTAGTGTCTGCACGGACTGCTGCTATGTGTGTATGTGTGTGGCGCTAAAACACCGCAAAAGCGCTGCTGGCAAACAGCTCGTTCGTCATCTAACTCTTCTTTCTCTCTCTCTCTCTCTTATATATATACTACACCGCTTCAGCTCCTCTATAGTGCAGCAGCAGCTTCTTCTCTTTTGCTCGTTTTGTATTAAGCTGAAATTTTTTCGAGCACTTTGTCTCGAGAGCTTTTTGCACTTAGAGCCGCGCGCGTGCACGCACGCAGCTTTTTACCATGAACGCGAAAGAGAGAGAGAGACTTTTCGTTTGACTGAAAAAAAAAACAAAAAAATAGATAATATTTTTTTCTCTTTCTCTCCTTTTTTTTCTTCATTACGCGCACGACCGTTTGATTTTCGCTTTCTAGAAAATTACTCGAGCGAAGGATTTACGATACTAACAAGCGCGCGGCTTACTGCTGCGACAATGACAACATGTGTTTTGAGCGAAATTTTGTTGAAAGAAGCTCGAGCGCGTGAAGACGTGGATTAAAATATGACGTGCTTTTGAATGCGTGTAAAACACACACGGAGTTTCAGAAGCGAAGTATCACACGATAATTCATTCGCGAGTGTGTGATGCGTGTTTGTTTGTTGCGCGCGGTTTGTTTTCTTTCCCAGCAGTAGCTCTCTCTGGACCGGTAAAGGGGGGAGGTGTTGCTAGTTTTGGTTCAGAGCAAATGAATTGCGCTTGTTGATAAAATTAACTCACTTTTATTGAATACAGCAGACGCATCCAATTTTCTCGTTGGATGCTCGTTTCATTCGTATTACAACATGGTACAATGACACTGTAAGAATGTATAATCGTCGAGTATTGCAGACTTTTCGTTTCTTTTCTTTTTTATTTATTATAAATTATAAAAAAATACAATTCTAATTTAAAAATATTTCACTATTCTACATGAAATTGAGCCAATTATAGTTCATTACAAAATGAAGTCGCTGTTTAATTATTGTCGCTGCATGAGAAATGTCATTCGGGTTATTCACTTTCATGCGCGATATGTGAGAACTTAAAATGAGGTGTACTTTTCGTATATTTGGTTTTTCAAAGACTACAAACTATTTCTACAGACTAGCCGCTAACTAATTTTTGTCTCTTTTATATATCTCGAATTTCGCAGCCATCATAATCACTGTTCAGTCATTTTTCACAAATCGATCTCGCTCACTTGCGATACGATGAAGTATTCAGATTCAAGCTCGAGTTTTTTGCAGGCGTATGAAAAAATATATTATTTATCGAGCTGCGCGTATTATAGATCATTTTTGTAAGCCGTGTCGGAAAATTGCAGCGCGACTAGCCGTGCGCGTGAGCTTGATTCGTTTATTTATTGTTAATGTTTCGAGTTATTCTATTATGCTACAGAACGTAAATACTTTTGGAAAATGCACTAAGTTAGATATAGCACCTATTAATATGTTGTTTTTTTTATCCACGAGCCTAATTTTGTTGTGCTCAAGTTCTTGTAAATCTATTAGATTCATTAATGTTTCTTTACAATTGATATTATTTCCGCTTTTCAAAGCACAGAGTATAAGTAATAATGCTCACTTACAGAGGAAGACGTGTTTCTTTATATAAAAAAAATTCAAAGCAAACGAAGAAACTTTTGAACCCCTTTAAGTATCTTTGCCAAAAGTTCATTCGAAGAGTTTTTTAATTTATATAAGTATCGAATGCAAAACACTCGTTGATTTTCTTTATAGCTGAGTAGCCGTCGACGTTGTCTTCAATAGACGCACCAATGGATTGAGCCTTCCTTGCTCGGAGTCACGAAATTCCTCCAATAACTGCTCGTCGGATAGAAAATCATAGAGAAAGAAAAAAATAGACATCAAAATATGTATAGGAATAAACCCGTCAACAAAAAACATCTGACAGAAATCTATAAATCGACTCTCGTAAACGTGTCAACGGAAAAAGATGTATACATAAAAAAAAACCGTAGTATAGCGTACCTGATAGGACATCTCGCAGGACAGGACGGAAGTGGCCTCTGGATTCTCGTGAGTGGCAGCTAGCAGGGTCGGCAGTGTGAAACATGCCAGACGAGGATCGCTGTAAAATGGAAAGGGCAGAGTGCAGAGTTGCTGCAAGACACTTTGACCCGCGCCTGCCGACTGCAACACCAGCTGTAACAGATTTTTTTCAATTTTTTTTTTTTCGTTTTCAAACAACGTTTGCACAAGTACCTTTCTTTCTTTCTTTTTACTTTCTTGTTCTTACAAAAAAGACAATCGTGGGAAAGCAAGTACTCGCACACACGCGCATTCACAGACACACAAGTGACTCGAAGAAACGAGAAACGACGTACGTTGAGCACACAGGTGACCGCACACCTGTGCGCGCGTAAAAATTTGCAAATACGTATGCAAAAATTGCACATGTGACAATTCAATGCGCACCTGCATGCGACAGGGGTAATGGGATGTATAATTTTTTTTTTTTTCAACTCGCTACTTATAGACTTGGACGAGAGCACGCACGTGCATGACGCTCCTAAATTTTGCTAATTTTTTATCAAGTATGCACGAATGACAGATGGATGCATTTAGCCAATGACGACTCATCGATCAATTAGCGCAAGTCTAAAAAAGAAACAAAAGTAATTAAATAAAAGGGTTTTTCTCTCGGAGCAGCGGAAAGAGATTCATCACGTGTCAATGACGAAAAGTCAATGATGACTTGGTATATAACTAGCGACTAATTTGAAAATGGCCGATAGCTTTTTAGCCATTAAAATTACGGGGCATTGCTACCATATACCGCTGATGCTGCTGACTACCGTCGCTCATTGAATTTGGTTTTACACGCTGATATTTAATCGCTTCCTATATACACGTATACCCGCTCGGTGTGTCGTACACACTCGCAAAACACACATGCTCTGATCGACGTTAATGACTCTCTCTCTCTCGCTGCTTTTTACAATATATACATACACACATTTTAGAGAGAGGCCAAAGGGTTCGCCCGTTCGCCGCGATTAAACGTTCGCACATCCTGCCGTGCTTGCGACGGTGTGGATATATTTTTTCGGCCTGTCGATTTCAATTTTCGACGCGACACACGCGCGATCATCACACCCGAAAAAAGCTAAGCAGCCTATAAATAATCGTTTTTAACACTTTGATGGATGTATCGTGTACGAAGTGTTGACGCTCATCTCAACACTCGAAAATGCGCGCGCGGCCCCACCCATAAATAATTATCAAAATAGAAGCAAGTATCCGGATGCTCTTGATTGTGTATCCCTTTTCGCCCCCCTCTCTCCTTTTTTACAATCTCATCGCATATCATAGGGAAGTAAAAAATCTCGAGCCCCGTATACGTACACGCATTTACGAAGGCAGCAGCGGCGTAATGCACGAGCATCTTTCTTTTTGATATATAAATCCAGCGAACTGGCGCCGGAAGCCATCCTATCGACTGAGTATGTTTTGTCTATAAGGCGCGCAGCAGCAGCAGCAGCTCTCTTGGTAGTATGGCAGCCTCGAGAGATCGAGTACTTACGCGAGACAGGGCCTATAAGAGGTATATATACGTATGTGTGTATACGTTTATTTTAAAGCCAGGGCTTGAAAGGGCTCTTCGGTCTTGCTTTTCGGTTTCGCGAGTGAATTATGAATCGCCGCAGACTGAGCGCATCAATGTATAATAACTTTTAATGTAATAATGCTCGACTATTTTGTTTGCTCTCGATTGAAAATTTAATCAATATAATAAGCCGAGAACTTTGAATAATTTTCAAGCTCATATATGAATTTGGTTAATAATAATGAGCCCGAAGAGACAATGTAGAAATCAATAAAAAAAAAAAACACTTTTGGCTTTTATTTTTTTATCGAGAGCTAGAAATACTTAACGTTCGAGCTCTCGAAGCTCGTGAATGCGGTGTATAATAGATGACCACCACCAGAGCATGGCCCGTTTGTGCGTGTTTCGTACTCTAATAGGCAATCTTCAAACCTCTTCAATTCTTTCTTTTTCTTCTTCTCCTCGTCGTGATCTATAAGCTTGATGATAATTTTTTCAGCTATTTAATCGGAGCGTGTGCGGGAGCAGGTCGAGAAACGACGCAGCAATGTATGCTAATCCGAGATAATAGAGAGATTTATTTCGCTAGATTGGGTTACCTCTCTAACATTTTTTGGCGTTGCCAATTTTGTTTCCGTTCCGTTTCTTTCTTCTCTATACCTGTTCTTCTTTTTCTTTTTTTTTTTTTTATACACATACCCGTTGGATCGAGCTTCAGACTTGTCATCGATGCAAGTATGTATCTATACTCCTTTATATATAATTCGAGAGGCTTTCGGAATCGGAGATAGAGCAAATATGCAGCTCATATATAATTTAAAATGAGACTATTTAATTCATCCTACCTCTTCGGCTTCGTATTGGATATGAAATAAAAACAAAGAACTCGATAATTCATTTTTTTCCTATTGAGTGCCCAAACGCTACCTGTTTGTGTATATAGACGCAAAAAAGTTACGGAGAGCGAGTGAGAGAGAGAGAAAAAAAATTTCAGCCCGTAAAGAGGGAATTAGTTATACACATCGTATCGACTGATATGAAAAGTGCATCTGATCTCTCTTTCGTTGGCTCATATCGTTGTCGTCGTCGTATACGCGCGTATTTATTATACATAAAAGAGAGAAGAATCGAGTCGCTCTTTATATAGGTATAGTATTTGCGTATTATGCTAATTTGGCAGGGTATTATAAGCACTAAATGTATCCGAATTTTCGAAATTCCGCTACTATCTCTAGTCAGTCTTTGATCTCTTTCTCGCTCGGCTCGCTCTCGTCGAGGACATCTTTTACTTATATTCTTTTTTTTTTCTTTTGGGTGGAGAATTGGGCATATACATGCACAGAGAGATTATGCACACAAATTTGAGAGGCGCATCCTCGTTCTTATAAAAACGAACGGATCGCTATACATACACACGTAAACGCAGGACGTTTTGTATTCGTATATCGCGTACACAGGCGTATATTAGGCTGCTGCGCGAAGCTACGCGTCGGGGCGCACGTATAAATATACTACATACATTGATAAAAAAGAAAAGGAAAAAAAGAACGATTCTTCTTCTGACTTATCATCAAGGATTCTCCGCGTGTCGAGAGAGCTAAGCCGCGAAAGAGCAGCCTGGACAGAAGAGTCCGTGCATGCGTCTTATTTTTTGTCGCTAAAACAGGTTTTTCTCTTTCTTACGAATTCTATCTCGCGCGCGACTCGAATTTTGTTCACCGTATATAAAAATACACGTCGAATTCGTCGGCTGTATTTGTTTTCCTTTAATACAGTAATTTTTCTTCCGTTAAATAGTGTAATAAATAACACCTACAACGGTCATTCTTACCTGATTATCTCTATTGTTAACGGCAAAGTATCCGAGCACGACGAAAAGCTCGTTGAGCAACGCCGTATTATTGACGGAGTTGTTGTTGTTATTACTGCTGCTGTTATTAATGTTGCTGCCACTGCTGGCGTGGCCTCGTCTTTGTTGATGCTGTGGTTGTTGCTGTTGCTGCTGTTGCTGGTGCGGCTGATGATCAGCCGCCTCGATGGTCATGTCTCGCGACAATCGAGTTATCAGATGACTAGATACGAGACGCCACTGTAGGCTCGTGCCCTCGGCGCCCAATAGATTCTGTGAAAAAAGAAAAGAAAATCGTTAAAATTTTAATGCCATGCATAGAGAGACGAAACTACGTTAGTCCGGAAAAATTTCCGCGTCGATTTCTATAATTATCGGCGCAGCGAACACTCGAGAATGTGGCAATAATTGTCAACCATCTCTCACGACGTCAAAGAAGCCTGTCAATCCCAATTCCGAATTCAGACACTGACGACGAAGACACAGCTATAGCGAGCGAGCGCGACTTCTCCTCGAGTGCTAACACTTCGGTAATAATTTAATCGCGTGCGTCGCTGCGAACTTTGTAGATGTAACATCGAGGATATTCCTGTCGTCGTCGTCGTCGTTGTCGCCGGCGGAGTAGTCGTACTACTCGTCGATCGATTTAGCCGCAACTTGTAAAGTTATTATTGCTATAATGTAATACGAAAAAGCTCTAGCTCGCAAGCTCTCGCGGAACATTATTCCATTTGCCGAAATTAACGCTCCGTGCAGGCGCACGATGTATATAAACTCGTATACGCGCGCGCGAGTATAATTTTGGAATCGCATTTGGGCACAAATATAGACGTTATTACCCACCACCAATCAACACATTGCAATGATCTCTCTTTCTCTCTCTCTCTCTCTCTCTCTCTCTCTCTCTTTCGTGAATATAATTTATTTATCGCGAGCACTCGGATAGCCGAATAAAACATTACTTGTTCAATTCCTGAAACGTTTGTGTATATAACTCGTATTATTGCCCATCGCGCGCTCTCTCGACGAAGAACAAAAAAACAAACGCGGGGAAAAAAATCGCAGCTATTATTCACCACAAGTATAATGTATGAATTCCATCTCATATCATTAGTTAGGGCGCGAGCAAACGTTACGTATATGTATACCAGCAGAGCGAGATCCATTAATTCACGCTTTTCACGATCCTATATCACACACGTACTCGTTGTCGGTCGGTCGCTGCTACTTTTGCTGCTGCGAATGTGAATCGAGCCTGTCCACGCGCGAAAAAGCATCATCGACTCAAACCCCTAAAAGCACGCGAAACTGCGTCCATCGTATATAATACAGCGCGAGCATACACATATATTATATATATTATCACTTGGAGTAGTCAGTGGTGTGTGCAGCTGTCCTTATAATACCAATAATTTTTGCATTACGCCCTCATAAAAAGCAAATCTAGCCTACGATGAGACCCCCCTTTGATGATCCTAGAGAGAGAGAGAGAGAGAGAGAGAGAGAGAGAGAGAGAGAGAGAAAAAAAAACATATAATATTAAGCTCGATATCTGCTCTCTGTCTCTGTCTCTCTTTTCTCTGTGTCTCTCAGGTGCTTTATCTCGGCGTATCGTGTGTATGTACGTTTGTACCCCCCTCGTATACATATGCGATTGAGACATCAGTATATAGTCGGGTGGCAGCATTAAGGGGGTTGGTTGGTGCCGCTCTCAGTTTATACAGCGGCAGCGTATCGGCGACCGCGAATTGAATACATATATACACACACACACATATATATATATCTACCGCGCGCGCTTGGAAAAAAAGGAGAGAGAGCCAGAGAGAGAAGGTCTCTTGGGATGAGCTGCGGGACGCCTTATTAACCATTCCCTTTGGTGTGATATAACGATTCGCTGGTATATAGTTCAGGCCTCTATCTCTCTCTATCTGTCGGTGTCGTGGACTCGAGGCGATTTCGCCGAGTGCGTATAGCTGTATCCAGTCCACCAGCTCATCGCAAGCTCGTTTGTCTTGTCTTATTTTGCTCGATTAGTTATTGATGGCGGGCACGTATTGCTTCGGGACATTTGATGAGTCTACTCACGCCAACGTACGGCTATTGCTCGCTGCTGCACGCCCAACTTCGGCACAAGGCGCGCATCGTTTTTCTCCTATTCTACCGCTCTCACCGGAGATGGAAACGCTCGGCGCTCGTTTCGAGAAAATCTATTATAGCCGCGCGCGCACCCGCGCGTAATCGATATATGTACGGCTCGCTCGTTATGTATCATCAATCAAACCTGTAACTTGTGCAGATCCAGCTCGGCCAGGTGCCTCAGCAGCGTCAGACCCTTGAGGGCGAGATTTTTCGCGGAATTGGCAGTGGGCACGGGCGACGACGACGTCGACGTTGCGGCAACTCCAACGCTACCCGACGACGACGCAGATCCTTTTGGCTGGCACGCCGAGCTCAGCGCGACGGCGGCGTACATGGCGCCCAGGGCACCCGCCGCCTCGCTCGAGCTCATCAGGCTCAAGAAGTGAGCTCTGATCGTCGACGACTCGGCTTGCTGATTGCCGCTGCCGTCGTTGTTGGACATGTTGGAGGTGGTCTCGCCCGAGGCCGTGGACGAGGCGTCGTTGCTCGGCGCGCCGCCGGCAGACGATCTCGACGACGACGAGTGCTGCTGGTGATTGTTGCTGCTGTTTTGCAGCTGTCCTTGGCGCAGCTGATAACAGATGCGCGCCAGCAGGTCGTAAGCGCCGCAGATCAGCGGACAGTCGCGATCCTGCTCGATTAGATAGTCCAGCTCGATCATGGCGCGGCTGTGGCGCGAGACGCGCTCGATGAAGCCGCTGGTCATCAGGTACCTGCGAAACAGCACGGATTATCGCGTTAATATGATTATTGTATGTATAAGACGCGAATCAAATGTAGCTCAGTAGCCTTTCCAGCCTGTCACGCGCAATTAACTCGATATGCGTACACGTTGTGCACGCGCACAGCTCGAGGCGTCGTGCGACTAGGCTCTAAAAAAAAAAATGAAACGAAAGCATCGCGCTTTGCTCGGCTCGCCCTTATCCTACGCGCTTTCAAAGCTCCGGGGCGTTATAATGCGAAGCGACGTGCTACATGGAGCGGCACGCACCCGCGCATATATAAGCATTAAATGAAAAACAATTGATTATTCAAGATTCGGAATCGGGGCGCGATACATACAACAGCGCGTATGTATATACAGACATCAGGAGTAACGGCGCAGCACACTCTACTAGGCTCGCGCCGCTGCATATGGCCGGGGCACGCACCCGTGTTGTTGTAAAAATAAAAAGGAGCGAGTAAGAGAAGTAGGTGCGCGCAATGCAGTATGCGGGGGGAGAGAGAGAGAGAGCAAAAGTCTCGGCGCGTAACACGAGAGGATTATAACATCGTGCATGCGTATACCCGGCGCTGTGTTGTACGTCTATCGCATTTATTTATATTATTATTATGAGGTGAACGGGGGGATGATTATGTGTGCGTATTATAGACCCGTTTCAAAAGTTCCACAAGAGAGATGATGCCAAGAGAGAGAAAGAGAGAAGGAACAGGTTTGCCGTCATGAGCTCTAGCATAGCAAACACGGATGGTCTTTTTTTACCCACTACTGGCGTATTTTAGAATCGAATATGTCGTGCGCGCGTGTAGTGTACGCGTTACACTCTGACATGAGCTCGAAGGGTGCAAAATTATCATCGGGACTTTTTCGTTACGCTTTTCGACAATATGCGTGTATAATATATGGTTGTGATTCGTGGCTGACACCATTGCTCGGATTTTGACTTTGACGTCTTTATTTAATTTTTTATTTTAATTTTACAATTGATTATCACTATGATTATTATCATTATCATTATTATTATTATCGATATTATTATTTGCGGTAAGAGGTGCGCTCGTATACCGTCAACGTTACGAACTGCATTCTCCGGATTCGGCCACGTATTTCAACTGGAAGTAAAACAGTCGTATTGTCGATTATCGAATTCAAAGCAAAAGTCGTTTATAGACTGATAAGCCAAAAGTATAAAATTTGCTGTGAAATAGTAATACTTGCGCAGTTGACACTATTCAAAAGTGTCTCGAGCGCGGGTTATACTTTTTGAAGATTTCACAGCAAATTTCATACTTTTGAGTTTTCAGTCGAGAATGCTAATGTTTGCTAAAAGATACCGCGCAGTCGAGAACGACTTTGAGATCTGAGTGCGATTGTTGGCAATGCTTGACAGCTGCGTTGAGACATTGCGACGGCACATTGTCGCCATGGCGTAGTTTATTCTTGATGACGTCCGTCACCTGTGAATCCTTTATTAATTTTTTTTTTTAGTAATCGATGAATTCACGACGGAAATTGTGAATTATTGCAGTGTAGTTCTTTTTACCTCCTGGCATAGCACCGTTGCAGCAACGAACAGCAGCAAGAAACACACGGTTAATTTCAAAGCGCGAGATGACATTTTTCGATCGTTTCCGTGAAATCGCAGTCTAGAAACAGTCGCGATTGCGCTTCACGCTCGTCGATCGACGCATAAAAAAAATGCTGCAGCCTAGCTACATCGTCGCTCACGATTTTGGCGTAAAAATTTTATCGCCGCGCACACGTATTTTCATTAGAAATGAAAAAGACGTGTCCCCGCGTGCTGGCGTCGTCCGAGCATGACGCCAGCGCATAAAAATCCCCCGTGTATATACAAGTGAATCTAAAAACACGTATACACTGGGCTCGTGTACTATACTCGAGCCCATGGTGAATATCAACTCTCAAGTCAGAGAGAGCTGTGTGTCGTCTAAACAGGAGACAGGGCGCACAGTACTGTACTGTATACTGTGTGTATGTGTATGGAGAACGTGTGGCGTGCGCGCCGCACTTCATTGAAATGTCACCAGTAATACGAGAATAGAGCCAGAGAAAGATCTGTATGGCCTATACAATACAAAAGATCATCGTATGCACACGCGGCGTATATATACTACTTCACAAGTAGTACACAGTCGAGCGCCACTTGTTTTCCAATTCATTTTAATTGAAAAGAGATGAGGCTGTCACGAGGCTCTCCCGAGGAACAGAAGGTGGGGAACATCGAGCCTTCGCAGTTCTATACTACTACGTTCGACGGGGCAGGACTGCAAAAAGCTCAAGCGCCAACTGTCGCGAATCGTGTCGAGTCGCGCGCGCGAGACTAATCATAAGCACGGCTAATCTCGTATACGCATAACGACACGATCGACGCTGATACCTCCGATTTCTTACAACCTTTTTTTTTCCTCGCAAGCCTGTATGTCTTGGTAAGAAGAAGAAGACGACGACGACGCTTCGATCCACTCCAACTTGTTTATTATTATATACACACAAGTACATAAGCCGAAAAGTAATCGCTGCTAAGATTACGCCGCCGCTGCTGTTCGTATCACTGCGCGCTGCTTTAATATTGTCAGCGGGATTTCACTGAGATTAAAGCGAGTAATTGAATTCGCAGCTGAGAAATTGAGTCTAGGCGCTTTTGTATACTGTCTTAAAAAAGTCACGAGTATTTTTGCGTAGGCAGCTAGCTTTCCAGAATTGCGATGAAACATTGACGAGAATTGTAAAAGTTTCCAATCCATTGTTACATCGTTTTGAAATTCATTAACCCATTCAATTTCCAAAGATTTTTTTTCGCTACTCCTTTCGGTCATTGTACTTTTGGTGAAAATTGAGATGTTTAATGTAAAATTTAATGTAATTTCAGAATCCAACCCTGATATTAGAAAAATAATTTTTTTAATTTTTCGATTTTACATTTGGCAATTATTGAAAATCTCATGTAAATTCTGTAGTAACACTAGTTACTGTAACTTTTTTAATCATTACAATGTAAAAACCAAACATTACTATATAAGCCTTGCAAAAAACTTAGTCCTCTACTATAAAATTACTATCTCAAATAGAAAAATTCACGATGTAAATTAGATTGATAACTTGCCAGTAGATGGCGAACGAGGATTTTTGTCAAAACTCGCTTAAGCATTCGCCCTCTTCGATTAATAAAGTTGCTGTATGATACGGAAACGTGTATACAATTTTTGACTTGTTTATCAACTAATTATTGAAAATTTGAAAATTAACTATAAATGTCTCTGTGTACTTACACATAATGCATGCCAAAAGGGTAAAAGAAAAAAAAATGAAAATCAAGATCGTTATTCAGTATGAGAGTGAAATATCAGATTAGCTACATGAAAGCATCGAGTTTTTCGTACTTATGCCTCCTTCGCGTACGTATCGGTAATATAATACGTTCACATTACGCGGCCGCATTAGAAATGATTTTCATAAATATAATAACATTTCGGCATTCGTGCGTCGGCACTTGGATGACGTCTTTCCGTAAGATTTGTCCCTTGTAAATACGATATATATTATATTATTATATATAAAAGCTTCGACCGCATTATACGTAGTATTTTCTTTCCAAGTCTCTGTCTGCCTGCTGCGCCGCTGTATACACACAGCACACCCTTGCGTGCGGCGGGTGTTTCACCAATCCAGGACAGGAGCCGGAGCTGTTTATGCGGATGCACACTGCGTAGGCTCTTATCGGGATTATAGTGGCTGTCTCTCTCTCTCTCTTTTAGCGCGTCGACGATCTGCCATAGGAGATCTGCACTCGTGCGTGCGTTTGGCACACGCACACACACACACACATATTCATACGAAAATTAAATATAATACGCGGCCCGTGCACTTGTTACGGACAAGGGATTTGCGATACGTTGCATTAGTAGTAGTAGGTGTTGACGCGGATGATGCGCGTCCGATCGCGTACGTAATACGTTATTTATGCGCGCGTCGTACACTTTTTTCGCCTCGTTTCGCGCGTACGTCTTGTTCAAGCAGTGGATCCCTGATGCCTGTGTAAATAATAACCGTTCACCTCAATATCATTTAATTTATGCGCGCGTGGATTAATACTCGATCGGAAATCGCGCGCATATGTTGGTGTAATAAAAGTTAAAAATGAGCCCAAAAAAATAAAATCGTAATCGTAATAATTTCATAAAAGCGTGGTGTAACGGGGTTCAGGCGTATACAACGACGACGGTGGTCCGAATCGAATTATAATATTTTGATATCGGCGTATTACGCATGCATAGACATTATTCTTTCTGTGCGAATGCCCGGTGATCGGTCGACACGTGAAGGAGAGAGAGAGAGAGAGAAAAATTGCTACCGAAATATGCTAATATGGCTAAACGGCCTGCGTATGTATAAGCCACGTATTCCCGTGATTGCGCACGTTTTCGTATACATACATTCGTACTGCGCCACTCTCTGTATACGTATAAACCATATAATTGAATGTTTGCCAGACTCTGCCCGTGGATATATAACGTAGTGGTGCTCCTACTGCTGCTGCTGCTGTCATGCGAGCGAGCCAAGCCTTGAATTTATTTATTGCACCCTCGATTATCTGTGTGCTCTGGGCGAGGGTGTGTGCGTGTATGTGTACACATGCATGCGCGTCACACACATACATAAGCACGCAGAGTCACTGATCATTGAAGATGAGGGGGAGCGAGATCTGTCTCTTGCTCGCTCGCTCACTCGAGCTAGTCATGTATAGCCCCTCTGTGCGCCATTAGCTAACCATATGATTATTTCATGGCACCCCCCTCGAAAGTCTGTGCGCGCGTATAAGAAAGAGAGCAATGCGACATTATATATATACGTATACGTATAGTACTACAGGCTTGGCAGGGGGTCATTGTCGGATGATTAAGGCGACCTTTTTCACTTGTATCTTTGGACGCGCGAGCGCTACGTCGACGAAGGACTTTATACGTATAAGCA